CGGCAGCGGGCGCTGCGCGGCGGCTCCGAGCGGCGGCGGGCGCGGCCCCGCCCGGGCCGTGAGGGGCCCGCCCGCGTCATGGCCGCCGCCTTAAAGGCGCCGCGCCCGCCCCGAGCGGAGGGTCTCCAGCGGGTCTCCGGCGGGTCTCCGGCAGTCCAGGCCGGCCACGGAGGGAGAGACGTCCCCGCGGCGCTGCCGGCAGCGCGTACCTGCGGGGCAGCCTCGAGCAGCGCCGGGCAGCGGCGTGCGGGCACGGCGGGGCCGACCTGCCGGCGGCACACCGGGAGCAGCGCTGGGCTCCCGGTTCGGGACCTGAGTGCCTTGGGGCCTCCTTGTGGACATTTCCGCTCCTACCGAGCGACGTAGCTGCTCTCAGTGAAGTTCGTCTCCACGAGGAAGGCAGCCTTAGAGAACACGGTGCCGGTTACACACTCTTTTGGTCAGGTAAACCCAGAACCGAAAGGCATCTCTCGGGTGTAGGCTTCATGATTAAAAACTCTATTGTTCCTAAACTCGAAAATCTGCCGACAGGTCACTCTGCCTGCATTATCTCCCTATGCCTTCCACTAAACAACAAGCAACACGTTGTTCTCTTTAGTATATATGCCCCAACTCTCTGACCTGACCCTGCCGAAAAAGATAAATTTTACACTGACCTGCGCCACCTTACCCAAAAGGTTCCTGCAGATGATAAGATCATTATCCTTGGTGATTTCAACACCAGAGTAGGTAAGAACCTTGAAGCCTGGAAAGGAGTATTAGGCAAGCATGGTGTTGGAAACTGCAATGATAATGGTCACCTTCTGCTGGAATTCTGTGTGGAGCAACAGCTCACCATCACTAATACTATCTTTCAGCAGAAAAATAGTCTGAAGACAACCTGGATGCACCCCAGATCTAAGCATTGGCACCTCATTGATTATGTCTTGGTGCAACAGAGAGAAGTTCACGATGTCCTCCGTACCCGCGTGATGCCCAGCGCAGAATGCCAAACAGACCATCGGCTTGTGCGCTGCAAACTCAACTTCAGTCTCACATCCAAACCTAAAAGGAGCAGTATCCCAAGGAGGAGACTCCAAGTTAACAATCTCCAGTCAGCCACAGTGAGAGACAGATTCCAGGCAAACCTTCAAACTAGGCTCGAAAACCATTCCATAGATTCTACAGATTCCTCTCCTGAAACACTTTGGCACCATATTAAAAATAGCATCCTGCAATCCTCTGAAGAATCCTTAGGGTTCTCCTTCAAGAAGAACAAGGACTGGTTTGATGAAAACAATCAAGAGATCCAGGAATTGTTGGAGAAGAAGAGAACTGCTCACCAAGCACACCTTGCACTGCCATCCTGTCATGTAAGAAAAGCAGCCTTTCGCCTTGCATGCAGCAAGCTCCAACAGGAACTCCGTGACATCCAGAACAAGTGGTGGATCGATCTGGCTGAAACAACTCAATTATGTGCAGACATGGGTGATCACAGAGGATTCTATGAGGCCCTGAAAACAGCATACGGGCCTACATACCAGGTCCAAAGCCCTCTACTCAGCACAGATGGTCAAACGCTTCTGACAGATAAAACCTCCATTCTGAATCGATGGTCTGAACGCTTTCAGACTCTCTTCAGTACCAACTGTGTAGTTCAAGACTCAGCAATTCAGTCCATCACACAACAAACAGTGAAGTATGAACTGGATATTGCCCCCATTTTGGGAGAAACTCTTAAGGCCATGCAGCAGGTGAAAATTGGCAAGGCAGCTGGGGTTGATGGAAGTCTGGAAGTTTGTCACACGCATGTGGACAGCAAACTTGGCCTTCTCTGGAACTCATGAAACTGGAGGCTTGAGGTGATGGGAAAGGGGAGTGACCAAGGACAACAGGGCCACCACCACTACCATGCCACTACCAGCACTGGGGAAAGAGAGGAGGTGGAGACACCGATTCCCGGGGACATATACATCTCTTAGTGGTCTAAGCTCCAGACTTTTATTTCACAAGTATACCACACCCATGGGATTTGCTGTACAGGAAGGTACAATTCAAAGTACCTACAAATGACAAAGTCTGGCCCACTGGCAGTAAAATCTCACCTACAAAGTTTTCAAGTTTATCTGGCAACAGTGCTTTTTTTTTTCTTTATTACACTCTCTTTTTTTAATGTCTTCTTCAAAATTTTCCTTGATTCATGATGTTTTCTAATGGCATAGAAGCATTACATGGATGAGATGTTGTCAGTGCCAGGGGAATTAAGCAAGGAATACCAACCAACACATCCCGCTTTCCCATGCATAGGCTTTGCAGCCAGGGCTGTGTCCCAGCCAGATGCTGTTATCTTTTCACTATCCCTAACAGCCTGGGTTACTTCAAATTTGTGGGGTGCTTTACTTGCAGAGTTTCCTTCTGAGTCAAACCACTCAAATTACACCCTTGCTGTTTGCTGCGAGGCAAGGGGGACGTTACAAATTACCTGTGGATTCATACAGAACCTAGAGATTTCTGCAGAGCTCTGTGACACGAGTGCCCCAGCCGGCACAGACAGAGCCTGCTGGCCAGCAGAGCACGCACATGGGCTGTCTCCCAGGCACCGTGCATCTGTCTCACTCCCAGACAAAGCTTGCTGCACCCTGGCTGCACCGAGATTCAGGTCACCTAACTGCTAACCCGACACAGTTAGGAGCACTAAAATCACCAGAAAACTGGACTTCTGTGCAAAGGACTGTAGACATGACTTCCCCAACCACTTCATTTTGTCTGACATATGCTGTTAAATAAATAACCAAAGCTTGTAAAAACTATGCAAATAACAGCACTCAAGCATCAACAGAAGTGTTGAGAACAGAGAGCAGTGACAGTCCTCACTCCTTTGGATTTAAATAAATGCAGATAAACAAGATAAATAGAGTATTAAATGTAGTGCACCCTAAAGAAAACCCTCTTTAGTTCACATCCCAAAGCATACTGTAAAACATGACATATTTGTGCTGGACAAGTAAGCCAAGCAAGGCAATTCTTTTCTGTTTCTCAAGAAATAAGCATTCTGAATGAGGCCATAATGAGTTTTCTGCATCAGCTGGTTTCTAACTTTGGTAATGAACTGACATTTGAGGATACAAATATAAATGAGTTATTTTACTCACACTCTCCCCTTCCTTCCATCATGTTCTTCAATTAATTCTTTGAGTATTTAAAGTGAGGCTCACACAGTACATGCGTTCCTTCTAGAGGACCTTGAACAGCAAAGAGAGGAATTTTAATAAAATGGGTTATGGAAAAATTCAATGCGGAATATCATCTGTGGCTTGTATTTTCATTCATCGGGGTAGGGTAATTTAATTATAATGAAATTACGTCTGGAGGGAGACAAAACAGAAAAGCGAATTAGTCTTTTGTTTGACTGTTTGCATCCCACTTCTGGAAAAAAACCAAAACAACACCACAGTTTCCAAGTTGTGCAAGGGAACAAAGTGAGACCAGGGTTGGTAGCCCTGACTGGCTGTGTCTCACCTTCTGCTGTCACACAGGGGGAAACACAGAGGGCTCAGCGCAGGTATCGGACACCAGTCGACCCTGTTTTCTGGGTATTGGAAAAGGCCAGTTTTCTACAGAAAGGCTATCATTTTTTTGTCCCTGTCAATGAAAACAGTAGATGAAGACAAAATGCACCATGCATGTGGCAGAGTGTAGCGCCCTGTTAGTTGTGCAGTGGATACTGAGTTTCAGCTCCCCCAGAGCTAAATAAAGCCCTTTAAACCTTCCTTATTCCAGTGTCCTGGGTAGAAACATGGTTAAACACAGGGAAAGTTGAATAAGGAAACAACGCAGGACTTGCGTGGTTTCCCACTGAGGGAAGCCGCCCTCCGAAAGCTAGCCTTATGCAGAGCAGAATGGGCCGTATGCCTGTATAAAATAGGTATTCCTTTGCCACCATGGCCCGCCCGCTCGGTGCCCTCAGCAGGACGGGCCGGGGCAGGGGCCGCCCTCACCGCGGCGCAGGGGCTGCCGGGAGCGGGGCCCTTCCCCTCACGGGGCCCTTCCCCTCACGGCCCCGAGGCGGCTTCCGGAGCCCAGAGCGCGGCTGCTGCTCCTCTGCGTGCTCAGGGAGACACTTCGGGGCTGGCGGGGATCGCTTGTGGTTCACCGCGAGGAAAAGCGAACCAGATATGGGCAAATTGCGGAGACATTTCATTTAAATGTGCTGGCAGCCAACAAATGATCAACTCCTCGTAATGCACAGCACTGGCGGCAGGGGAATCAAGGGAGGGGCTCAGGCTGTTTTTAAGTAACTCGTCACAAGGGTGGAAGTGACATGGGTGTACAGATGACAGCTTGTCCCTCAGGTGATTTTAGACAGCCTTGGACTACTTAGAGTAACTAAGGGTCTTTTCCACAGTCCCTGGCAACTACAGTATACAGTATACTCAGACACAAAACCCCTGTTACTCGTCCAGGTTGCACCTTTCCAACACTTTACTCTCAGAAAACTGTCTTTTCTCAGTTCAAGTCTTTTCAACTCCTGTCCATTGTCGTTACAGTTTGCTGGAATGGAATTTTGCCACTTACCTTGCTGCACAGCATCAACAGCTGTTGGACCCATTGTCCTGCTCTCCCTTCCCTACTTCAGCACTGCATACACAGGAATGAGGGACAGTTCCCATCAAGGAACTCTAGTCTGCCCAAAGAGTCCAGCAATGAAGCACCTCTCTTCAATTCCTGCCTCGGCCAGGAAGATCCTCCAAAAAACTTTTGTCTTCTTCACAGTCCCCTTCTGACCTGCCAGGGTTTTCTGCAGGGCTGAGCACTGTCATGTTGCTCTGAAGTTCTGCATAAAGCCTAGACAAAAGGCTAAAGATAGCATTGGTGTTAAATAAGTGTGGAGGGAAGGGAGGCAGAAAACCTGCGGCCAGAATACAGCAGAGTGACTTGGTACCAGCCTGGCATTCATTTTCAAGGCAACTAAGTGTGCAGTGCTAGATCAGAGCACAACAGCCAGTCAGCCTCACTTTACATTCCACGCAGTTACCTTGGTACACTCCTGTAAGGTAAAACCCAGGATCTGTAGATGTGCAAAAACTTTTGTCAAAGCTGTGGGTATCAGGCCCAGTGCCAGGGTTCAGAGCTGTGCAGGTGCACAGGCTGAGTCAGTGACACAGCTCCCTACCTGCAAGCCTGGAGGGAGGAGCACGGCCCACACTTACTGACAAGGCAGGGTGGCAAAGACTCTTGGTTTGTCCTGATGGAGAGTCCCTTGAATCTTTGCACTAGTACTAAGTCCTAAGGTACTTTTTATACAACATGCATAATCCAACTGGTTTTTGTAATCATATGAATCTCCGATGACTAGTGTTGCACCCTCCTCGTACCAGTCTAAAAACGAACGTGCACAGCAGCTGACTGCAATGCAAGGCCAGCAATACCTTTCTGCTTTTGCTTCCTCTTGTTTCCAGGACTGAATTGCTTAAATAAATCTTCCTGCATGTGAATTATATCCACTTCACTGAGAATTTCCTGCCCTACTTACTTTGTTGTGCAACTTCTTACTGTGGTAGTCGCTCATATTTAATAAGCTTCTGTCTGGACATAAAGCCTTGTTATTTTAAAGCTTATACTTTATATTAAAAAATCATTGTAAAAAACACAGCTCATTGTGCCCACACTAGCAGTAGGACCTGCCACACATGAAAACATCAAGTAGAAAGATGAGGGTAAAGATGGAAGAAATTGAAAGGACATCCCAATCAAGCACTCATTTTGTTGAACTGTAACTTAGATAACTACATATACATTCAGAGCAGCAATGTAGATACACAGTAAAGAGCAATACTTCTGGGAGAAGGCAGTTCCTGTGATATTGCTGTGTACACCAAAGCATTAATACGCCACTAAATGCAAATGGGGTGTTGGATTATTTTTTTTTTATTTAATCAAATTATCTTGGTGGGGGAAGAATTTCAGACAGTTAATCAAGCCTTCCAACACTCCAGTTTTCTCTTTGTTGCCCTAATCACCAGTAATTTTTCCTGGAATTGACTGGACACACTCAGAATGAACCACACTGTCTGCCTGGCTGCTGAGACCTTGCTCCGTTTGTGTCAACATACCTACAGCTGTGTCCTTTCCAATCTTCCACAGCACCTTGGAAGCAAAGGCAAAGGAGGACGTTTCTGATGACTACCTCCCCAGCAAAGGAAAACATGTTACTGTGGTTGCCTGCGTATGGGAACAGATGCCTGACCTCCGTCCTCAAACTCCTTCCAACTACGACAACCGTTCATCCTAAAGAGCTTTTGTGCTACAACCTTGTACACATGTTGGGCAGTGCCTTTATCTTGTCCTTGGCACAGATGCCTCACCTACAGCTGGGCTGCTTCTAACACAGAGAGCAGCATTTGCAATCAGACTCTACACTGCCACTGTATGATCTATCAAAATCTAAACGTTTATAAAACACAGCACTAGTAAGAAATATGCAAGTTTGTCACTGGGTTGCTTTTACGCTTTAAAACAAAGAGCTACATAAACACAATTCTTAGAAATAAATTTTTGCAAAGCCATTTATATTTGACCTGAGGGAGGGAACAGGATAACAAGGCTGTAAGGATTCTAAAGGAATTTTTACCGGTTTTGAAACACAATGTTGGGAACTCATCCCTAAGATTTCATGGAAACCTCAAGCTGCTGTTATCCCACTGAGGTAAGAACTTTTTGTAGTAGTCAATTATAAAAATAAAACACATTTTCAATATATGCAAGTTCCTTCAGACAGGCATTCCTTTTTGAAATATAAACCCCCTCCCCAAATCCAAACCACAAACCAACAAAAAAAGGTAAAAATGGGACTAGACCTTAGATTTCATTAATACTTTTACTCATCATCAAACTCAGAAGTTAGGGAAGATATCCTGAGATCTTATCTTGCCTCAAGATACTAAAAAAAAATCCAACACTTCACATAATCCCTATGTAAGATGACAAATACCTACTATCTATAAGGCATTTAAACATCCTTGTGGAGCTCTACCCATTTACTGCCCAGTCTGACATTAGACACTTGAATTTTACCCTTTATGTCAGAGGACACAAATCAGTTGATTCCTCAAGCCTTCAATTAAAAACATTTTATAAATGTGTGCAAGACCCACACTTGTAAAACTGTGTGGTCAAACTCTTTTTTTTCTGTTTTCAATCGTGAAACACATCCAGATAAGCTATGTACACCCTAGCTGGAGAATGGAACTGTCTTTTTACCATTTTCTTATGGAATGTTCTCAGAATTCCGATCTGGGATAAGTCCTCCTCACACGCAGCAAATCAGAAGAACACATTTGAATGACATGTTCAAATCTGCGGCTCAACGCGCTGTGTTTGCATAGGAGCTCTAGTAAAAGCAGAAGGCAATACTTTTGCAGGGTTTTTAGCTCAGCTTTAGAAACAGTACAAAGGCCTTTGAACTGTAATGTAGCAGTAGTCCTACGAAACCAAGCAGCCAAACCCGCAGTGAGCGGGGGCACAGCAGCAGCAGCAGCAGAGGCCAGAGCTCGGCTCGCACAGCAGGAAGAGGAGGAGCTGCAGTACAGAGCAGGTACCGGGGCCTCTCCTAACACCACTTGCAGAAAAAGCCTCAAGACAGACAATGCCAAGCCCATGAACAGTCTTTACTTCTCTCAGTTATTTCACAGCACAATGAGACACAGCACAAAGTTTGTACAGCGGGATCTGCAGACAGTTTAAAAACAGGCAATTATCTTTAATAAAAAGCATTGAGTCTAAATGAAAATAATATGAAGACAAACAATACTGAAGCTAATGATCACCTTGCTTGCTTTTGATTGTCTAAAAAGTCCAAGACTTGTCATAGTGCCTTTAATGTTCTCCACATCACCTTCTCCAAACACCCTAGTTAGTGTAAAGCTTAATGTGCCTCAACTCATATGTGTGGGTAGGTTTCACAACCTTTTCCTCTTGCTCTCAAACCCTACTTGCAGTGTGTGGGGAGGTGCAACAACTCTCATCAGACAACATTCTGATTCACAAAGAAGCAGCACAAGTGTTGTACATAATTTAATTTGCACTTCTGTATATAAATGTTTACTATATTGCACACTATTGCAGCACTTAAAAACATCTAATTATTTGCAAAAATTAGTAAAATACTTTAAAGGATTTAAAAATAAGGGTTTTAATGCAACTGACAAGATAATAAAAAAAGCAATTTACTTAATGAGATACAATCCTTTATGTTGGAAATGAAAGTTACATACAACTAGAGTACAATTAAAATATACCATATAGTTCAACACTTAATTCCTCAAATGTGTAAAATTAACAAGCTTCTACTGTCATAGATATACAATTTTTCCATATTGTGAAAAGGATTTTTCAAATTAAATACAGGTAACATAATATTCTGTAGTTATATTTCACGACTGTGTTTAAATGAGAGGGTTGTATAATACTCACATTGTCAAATGTACTCACTAATGCCTTGGAAATTGCACACTTCCCCTCCTTTTCCAAAATAGAATCTCGTTTCCATACTGAAGTCTATTATGCCATATTGGAAAAGTGTTTAACTTGCTGACAGGATTTTCATAAAATTAAAAAATAGCAGAATATCATGGCATTATGATGACTTTTCCACTTATGCCCATGTAGAATTTAATCTGGATATCAGAC